ATTGTAAATGACAAATGACTGTCTGCATTAATGTGATGGGTGATACTGATACAAAAATTTTTTTCATGTCATCCACAGCAGCGCAAACAGAAGAGAATAAATCTGTTCCTCTCCTTTGGTTTTTCAGGCTCTTAAGGTTAAGCAGCTCTTCAGTAACGTTCATTTCGTTGTCCACTCCTCTCAAAAAAATAAGTAACTGTTCAGTGTCAGAGGCGTCTGTGCTTTCCTCGGAAGCTAGCGAAAAAAAGTCAACCTCCTTTCCTCTGAGTCCCAATTGTCTTTTGATGTCTGATGACACTTCTTCAATCCTGCGTGCCACAGTGTAACGTGCCAGGGCCACAGTGTTACGTGCCAGGGCCACAGTGTTACGTGCCAGGGGCCACAGTGTAACGTGCCAGGGCCACAGTGTTACGTGCCAGGGCCACAGTGTAACGTGCCAGAGCCACAGTGTTACGTGCCAGGGCCACAGTGTAACGTGCCAGAGCCACAGTGTTACGTGCCAGGGACACAGTGTTACGTGCCAGGGGCCACAGTGTAACATGCCAGGGGCCACAGTGTTACGTGCCAGGGCCACAGTGTAACATTGCAAAGCCGCAGTGTAACATGCCAGGGCCACAGTGTTACGTGCCAGGGCCACAGTGTAACGTGCCAGAGCCACAGTGTTACGTGCCAGGGGCCACAGTGTTACGTGCCAGGGGCCACAGTGTTACGTGCCAGGGCCACAGTGTTATGTGCCAGGGCCACAGTGTTACGTGCCAGGGCCACAGTGTAACATTGCAAAGCCGCAGTGTAACATGCCAGGGCCACAGTGTTACGTGCCAGGGCCACAGTGTTACGTGCCAGGGGCCACAGTGTTACGTGCCAGGGGCCACAGTGTTACGTGCCAGGGCCACAGTGTTACGTGCCAGGGCCACAGTGTTACGTGCCAGGGCCACAGTGTAACGTGCCAGAGCCACAGTGTTACGTGCCAGGGCCACAGTGTTACGTGCCAGGGGCCACAGTGTAACGTGCCAGGGCCACAGTGTTACGTGCCAGGGCCACAGTGTTACGTGCCAGGGCCACAGTGTAACGTGCCAGAGCCACAGTGTTACGTGCCAGGGCCACAGTGTAACGTGCCAGAGCCACAGTGTTACGTGCCAGGGACACAGTGTTACGTGCCAGGGGCCACAGTGTAACATGCCAGGGGCCACAGTGTTACGTGCCAGGGCCACAGTGTAACATTGCAAAGCCGCAGTGTAACATGCCAGGGCCACAGTGTTACGTGCCAGGGCCACAGTGTAACGTGCCAGAGCCACAGTGTTACGTGCCAGGGGCCACAGTGTTACGTGCCAGGGGCCACAGTGTTACGTGCCAGGGCCACAGTGTTATGTGCCAGGGCCACAGTGTTACGTGCCAGGGCCACAGTGTAACGTGCCAGAGCCACAGTGTTACGTGCCAGGGGCCACAGTGTTACGTGCCAGGGGCCACAGTGTTACGTGCCAGAGCCACAGTGTTACGTGCCAGAGCCACAGGGTTACGTGCCAGAGCCAAAGTGTTACGTGCCAGGGCCACAGTGTTAGGTGCCAGGGCCACAGTGTTACGTGCCAGAGCCACAGTGTTACGTGCCAGGGCCACAGTGTTACGTGCCAGAGCCACAGTGTTACGTGCCAGGGCCACAGTGTTACGTGCCAGAGCCACAGTGTTACGTGCCAGGGCCACAGTGTTACGTGCCAGGGCCACAGTGTTACGTGCCAGAGCCACAGTGTTACGTGCCAGAGCCACAGGGTTACGTGCCAGAGCCACAGTGTTACGTGCCAGGGCCACAGTGTTAGGTGCCAGAGCCACAGTGTTACATGCCAGGGCCACAGTGTTACGTGCCAGAGCCACAGTGTTACGTGCCAGAGCCACAGTGTTACGTGCCAGGGCCACAGTGTTACGTGCCAGAGCCACAGTGTTACGTGCCAGGGCCACAGTGTTACGTGCCAGAGCCACAGTGTTACGTGCCAGGGCCACAGTGTTACGTGCCAGGGCCACAGTGTAACGTGCCAGGGCCACAGTGTAACGTGCCAGAGCCACAGTGTTACGTGCCAGGGCCACAGTGTAACATTCCAAAGCCACAGTGTAACATTCCAGAGCCACAGTGTTACATGCCTGAGCCACAGTGTTACGTGCCAGAGCCACAGGGTTACGTGCCAGAGCAACAGTGTTACGTGCAAGGGCCACAGTGTTACATGCCAGGGCCACAGTGTAACATGCCAGAGCCACAGTGTAACGTGCCAGGGCCACAGTGTAACGTGCCAGGGCCACAGTGTAACGTGCCAGAGCCACAGTGTAACGTGCCAGGGCCACAGTGTAACGTGCCAGAGCCACAGTGTTACGTGCCAGGGCCACAGTGTAACATGCCAGGGCCACAGTGTTACGTGCCGGGGCCACAGTGTTACATGCCAGGGCCACAGTGTTATGTGCCAGGGCCATGGTGTAACGTGCCAGAGCCACAGTGTTACGTGCAAGGGGCACAGTGTTACATGCCAGGGCCACAGTGTTACATGCCAGAGCCACAGTGTTACGTGCCAGGGCCACAGTGTTACATGCCAGGGCCACAGTGTTACATGCCAGAGCCACAGTGTTACGTGCCAGAGCCACAGTGTAACGTGCCAGAGCTACAGTGTTACGGGCCAGGGCCACAGTGTTATGTGCCAGGGCCACAGTGTAACGTGCCAGAGCCACAGTGTTACGTGCCAGAGCCACAGTGTTACGTGCCAGGGCCACAGTGTAACATTCCAAAGCCACAGTGTAACGTGCCAGAGCCACAGTGTTACGTGCCAGGGCCACAGTGTTATGTGCCAGAGCCACAGTGTAACGTGCCAGGGCCACAGTGTAACGTGCCAGAGCCACAGTGTTACGTGCCAGGGCCACAGTGTTACGTGCCAGGGCCACAGTGTAACGTGCCAGGGCCACAGTGTAACGTGCCAGAGCCACAGTGTAACGTGTCACGGCCACAGTGTTACGTGCCAGAGCCACAGTGTTACGTGCCAGGGCCACAGTGTTACGTGCCAGAGCCACAGTGTAACGTGCTAGGGCCACAGTGTAACGTGCCAGAGCCACAGTGTTACGTGCCAGAGCCACAGTGTTATGTGCCAGGGCCACAGTGTAACGTGCCAGAGCCACAGTGTTACGTGCCAGGGCCACAGTGTTACGTGCAAGGGGCACAGTGTTACGTGCCAGGGCCACAGTGTTACATGCCAGGGCCACAGTGTTACGTGCCAGGGCCACAGTGTTACATGCCAGGGCCACAGTGTTACGTGCCAGGGCCACAGTGTTACATGCCAGAGCCACAGTGTTACGTGCCAGGGCCACAGTGTTACGTGCCAGGGCCACAGTGTTACATGCCAGGGCCACAGTGTTACGTGCCAGGGCCACAGTGTTACATGCCAGGGCCACAGTGTTACATGCCAGGGCCACAGTGTTACGTGCCAGACCCACAGTGTTACGGGCCAGAGCCACAGTGTTACGTGCCAGGGCCACAGTGTTACGTGCCAGGCCCACAGTGTTACGGGCCAGAGCCACAGTGTTACGTGCCAGGGCCACAGTGTAACATGCCAGGGCCACAGTGTTATGTGCCAGGCAGACTTTGGCAAACTGTTGCTGCTTCTCAGGACAGATTTCCTTCACCATAGTCATCACGCAGTCTTTGATAAATTCACCCTTGGTTAAAGCTTTGCAACGTTTTGCGATCAGCGCGGCTACCTCGTAACTAGCCTTTGTAGCGTTCTCATTTGACTCTCGGGCTCTTACAAAATATTGCTGCTGTGAGATGAAACTAGCTTCAAGTTGCTTCATTATCTGGCTGCGTTCCGTCCCTGTGATCTTGTCGTATATGTCAGCATGTCTGGTTTGGTAATGTCGCTCACATTAAACTCTTTAAAAACAGCCACTGTCTCTTTACAAATGAGGCAGACGCAGTTGTTGCGTATTTCAGTGAAGAAATAGTCTAATTTCCACCTATTCTTGAACCGCCAGCCCTCGCAGTCAACTTTTCTTTTTATGTTGATTATCGCCATTTTAGAAAATTGAGGGGAAAGAGTCACACGGGCTGCTGCCCTCTAGTGGGTAAATGAGGAACAGCATTTAGTGTATAAGCTACGCCATATGCAGGAAATAGTACTGCTGCCCAATGTATTAAATCTACGGGCCAGACGTTATTGATTTTATGACGGAGCTGCAGGCCGGATGAAAGTTGACCACGGGCCGCATTTGGCCCCCGGGCCGGACTTTGGACATGTCTGTCTTAGATTATTACATATTATTGATTTCTATATGTAAAGGTCTTTGTGCTTCTAATGTATGAAACATGTTTTATAATTAAAACTTCATTGAAGCAAACAGAGAAAGCACAACACAATCAGTAAGATGGTCAAATAAATAGAATCATAAAGAAACTAAAAGCATGAGTCACTGCCCCCCTCCTGTAAACCCCCCCATCCTGAGAAATATTACCTCTATGACGTCACTTTGCTTTGAAATGTTTGCATTCTAACTTTGATTGATTAACAAGCAATAACTAATGCTGCAGTGTTCTGGCATTGCTAAGGCAGGTAAGCTAGCCAGGTTGTTTTAATGTAAATAGAATAACGCAGCAAGTTCCGGGCGGGACTTGTTGCCAGGGGCAGCTGACGGTGAGCGTTGCTAGGAGACGCCTGCTACGTCTCCAAGCAAACTTTACGTCAAACCAGATCATATCCGGGTCATTTAACTTGCCTGAGATCAGAAAAATAAAACAAAAACAGGATTATGAGCGTTATTCTTTTTTTCCGATTTTATGCACAAACTGGGAAAACGGACAGCAGCTCAGTTTCCGGTTTTTCACTTTGTTTGGAAAATAAATATTGAAAAAACGAGTGCATTTTTTTCCATTTTTAATTTTTGGTTTTAATTTGAAAAACAAAAGAACGAATGATCGACGGATTAAGATGCTTATTTACAGAAAGAGAAAGAGGAGGGGGAGGAGTTACACCGCGTGCGCAACTTCCGGTCTCTGATCAGGACAACATCCGGTTTCCTTCGATACCTGATCAGACCCGGATCACACAGCAGCAGGTAAGCCCAGCGAGGTGATCTGTCTCCATGGTAACCATTCATGTTCCGACATATCTAGTGGGTCCATTCCTCAGAACCTCCAGGTCCAGGTCCGGGGTCTGGGTCCAGGTCCGGGGTCCTGGTCCAGGTCCGGGTCCAGTGAATGGATGAACTGGGTGTTTGCAGACAGGTGGCTGATAGGTAGATAGAATATAATAGATAGAATATAATAGATAGAATATAACGGATAGAGTATAATGGATAGAGTATAATGGATAGAATATGTAGAAGCAAAGTTTGGGGCCATAAACCTGAAGCACTGCTGGGAAAATCCCTCAGATAAACAAATAAACACTTTAGTTAAAGTATCACACTGATAACTGTACTGAAGTAAAATTAACAAAGTACTTGCTTTTAAAAATACTTCAGGTATTAAAGTAACTTTCTGAATGCACTGCAATGTAACCGTTATTGATGTTATTGAATGAACTAAATCATTTCTGTCCAAGTTCACAGCTGGGATTTTATTCTTATGGATCATTTTAAGGATGAGTGAAATATAAAGTGCAGAAAGCCTGATTACACCTTTAAAAGACTTTAATTCAACAAAACAGCAGATTTCTACAACATCAAAGTGACTCTGACATGATTCAATTCTATTCAGTTTATTTCTATAGCTCCAATTCACATCATGTCATCTCAGGTCACTTTATAGATCCAGATCAACCAGATCATCCAGTCAGATTGATTCAAAGTTTTCTATCTAAGGAAAACCAGCTGATTGCATCGACTCATTGACTCTTCAGCAATCCCTCACACTAAGCATGCTTGTAGCGACAGTGGAGAGGAAAAACTCCCTTTGAACAGGAAGAAACCTCCAGCAGAACCAGGCTCAGTGTGAGCGGCCATCTGCTGAGGCCCACTGGGGTTCAAGGAGACAGAAGCAGACATAGAAAAAGAAGCATAGATACAAAAGGCAACTGTCAACCAGCTCCACAGGCGGCCCCGTCCAGGAAACACACAGCCAGGCAGACGAGCTCTGAGCCAGCTCCCATGTCAGAGGATGAAGAGAGCACATCCAGTTAGTCACAGTCAGAGAAACAGGACTACACTGGAAAACAGGCCAAGCTCCAACATCTAGAAACAAAGGTGTTGATGGCAGCAGCACAGCTGATATTTCTCTCCAGGATGGAGTCACAGCCAAACAGGAACAGACCAGATGAAGCTGGTATTTTAACTTTTCCCCAATCAGAGTTATTAGAATTAGATCATGAGTGGGTAACAGTAGAGAAGCTGCAGAGAGGTCTGTTAAACTGGTCTGCACCCGGGGGGGTCAGGGTTTTGGAGGACTGACTAATAAATGTGGCCAGATTCCTAGAAAGAAGAGCTGCACCATCCCCATTGGACCGGGAGTAGAATTCTGATTCCTTCTTTTCAGGTCCAAAGTCCTGGCAGGCCTTCAGCTAATCATATTTAGTTACTTTAACACAATTGTTTCATGTTAGCAGGGTGGGACATAAATCAATTGTCTTAAAGTAACTAAATATGATTAAGTAAATGCCAACAGCAGTTGCATTGTTTGTTTCCGTGTACCATGGTTACAGGGCTATTCATCAGGGTTCCTTCAGGTTCCATCCATGTTCCATCCATGTTCCATCCATGTTCCTTCATGTTCCATCCATGTTCCTTCATGTTCCATCCATGTTCCTTCATGTTCCATCCATGTTCCTTCCATGTTCCTTCATGTTCCATCCATGTTCCTTCATGTTCCATCCATATTCCATCCATGTTCCATCCATGTTCCTTCATGTTCCATCCATGTTCCTTCATGTTCCATCCATGTTCCATCCATGTTCCTTCATGTTCCATCCATGTTCCTTCATGTTCCATCCATGTTCCTTCATGTTCCTTCATGTTCCATCCATGTTCCTTCATGTTCCATCCATGTTCCTTCATGTTCCATCCATGTTCCTTCATGTTCCATCCATATTCCATCCATGTTCCATCCATGTTCCTTCATGTTCCATCCATGTTCCTTCATGTTCCATCCATGTTCCTTCATGTTCCATCCATGTTCCATCCATGTTCCTTCATGTTCCATCCATGTTCCATCCATGTTCCATCCATGTTCCTTCATGTTCCTTCATGTTCCATCCATGTTCCATCCATGTTCCTTCATGTTCCATCCATGTTCCTTCATGTTCCATCCATGTTCCATCCATGTTCCATCCATGTTCCTTCATGTTCCTTCATGTTCCATCCATGTTCCATCCATGTTCCATCCATGTTCCTTCATGTTCCATCCATGTTCCATCCATGTTCCTTCATGTTCCTTCATGTTCCATCCATGTTCCATCCATGTTCCATCCATGTTCCTTCATGTTCCATCCATGTTCCATCCATGTTCCATCCATGTTCCTTCATGTTCCATCATGTTCCATCCATGTTCCATCCATGTTCCTTCATGTTCCATCCATGTTCCATCCATGTTCCATCCATGTTCCTTCATGTTCCATCCATGTTCCTTCATGTTCCATCCATGTTCCATCCATGTTCCATCCATGTTCCTTCATGTTCCTTCATGTTCCATCCATGTTCCATCCATGTTCCTTCATGTTCCATCCATGTTCCATCCATGTTCCATCCATGTTCCTTCATGTTCCATCCATGTTCCTTCATGTTCCTTCATGTTCCATCCATGTTCCATCCATGTTCCTTCATGTTCCATCCATGTTCCATCCATGTTCCATCCATGTTCCTTCATGTTCCATCATGTTCCATCCATGTTCCTTCATGTTCCTTCATGTTCCATCCATGTTCCATCCATGTTCCTTCATGTTCCATCCATGTTCCTTCATGTTCCATCCATGTTCCTTCATGTTCCTTCATGTTCCATCCATGTTCCTTCATGTTCCTTCATGTTCCTTCATGTTCCATTCATGTTCCATCATGTTCCATCCATGTTCCATCCATGTTCCATCCATGTTCCATCATGTTCCATCCATGTTCCATCCATGTTCCTTCATGTTCCATCCATGTTCCTTCATGTTCCTTCATGTTCCATCCATGTTCCTTCATGTTCCATCCATGTTCCTTCATGTTCCATCCATGTTCCATCCATGTTCCTTCATGTTCCATCCATGTTCCTTCATGTTCCATCCATGTTCCTTCATGTTCCATCCATGTTCCTTCATGTTCCATCCATGTTCCTTCATGTTCCATCCATGTTCCTTCATGTTCCTTCATGTTCCATCCATGTTCCTTCATGTTCCTTCACGTTCCTTCATGTTCCATCCATGTTCCATCATGTTCCATCCATGTTCCATCCATGTTCCTTCATGTTCCATCCATGTTCCTTCATGTTCCATCCATGTTCCTTCATGTTCCTTCATGTTCCATCCATGTTCCTTCATGTTCCATCCATGTTCCAATCATGTTCCTTCATGTTCCATCCATGTTCCATCCATGTTCCTTCATGTTCCATCCATGTTCCTTCATGTTCCTTCATGTTCCATCCATGTTCTATCCATGTTCCTTCATGTTCCATCCATGTTCCATCCATGTTCCTTCATGTTCCATCCATGTTCCTTCATGTTCCATCCATGTTCCTTCATGTTCCATCCATGTTCCAATCATGTTCCTTCATGTTCCATCCATGTTCCATCCATGTTCCTTCATGTTCCATCCATGTTCCTTCATGTTCCATCCATGTTCCTTCATGTTCCTTCATGTTCCATCCATGTTCTATCCATGTTCCTTCATGTTCCATCCATGTTCCATCCATGTTCCTTCATGTTCCATCCATGTTCCATCCATGTTCCTTTATGTTCCATCCATGTTCCTTCATGTTCCATCCATGTTCCTTCATGTTCCTTCATGTTCCATCCATGTTCTATCCATGTTCCTTCATGTTCCTTCATGTTCCATCCATGTTCTATCCATGTTCCTTCATGTTCCATCCATGTTCCATCCATGTTCCTTCATGTTCCATCCATGTTCCATCCATGTTCCTTCATGTTCCTTCATGTTCCATCCATGTTCCATCCATGTTCCTTCATGTTCCATCCATGTTCCATCCATGTTCCATCCATGTTCCTTCATGTTCCTTCATGTTCCATCCATGTTCCTTCATGTTCCTTCATGTTCCATCCATGTTCCATCCATGTTCCTTCATGTTCCTTCATGTTCCATCCATGTTCTATCCATGTTCCTTCATGTTCCTTCATGTTCCATCCATGTTCTATCCATGTTCCTTCATGTTCCATCCATGTTCCATCCATGTTCCTTCATGTTCCATCCATGTTCTATCCATGTTCCTTCATGTTCCTTCATGTTCCATCCATGTTCCTTCATGTTCCATCCATGTTCCCATTGTTCCAGTCAGAGGTTCTGTCTGTAACTCATGTCCAGACTGTAGATTTTGACTATAGATTTCATCCTACCAAAGCCTCACAGGCCACCGTACCTCCTGGAAGTCAGGAAAGGCCACATCGGTTCTTGACGTTCCTGATGGATCATGGAACCATACGGTTCCTCTCTCCAGTGCCCGTGGGCTCTGTGCTGCTGTTGTGAGCAGCAGAGGATGTGCAGGGGCCCCTGCTGGCCCCTGGGAGCTCTCATCTCAGGTTGGGAGACAGTGTGCTGGTGACTGTAGAACCTGCAGGGGTTCTTGGATGGGTTCTGGTCCTGATTGGATCTGCATGTTTTGTTTTGGGTCTGGAGGTTTTTCTGGGTCCTAACTCCGGCTGCCTGATGTCAGAAGGTTCCTTGGTTCTGCTAACTGGATCCAGGAATGGGTCCCAGAGGATTTCCATCTAAATGTTACATCAGATGTTTTCATGTCAGAGCGTGTTCTGCTGTGATCCCCATGAAAGGTTCTAGTTCTGGTTCCAGGAATGAATCTGAACCTCTCAGAAGTTCTTTGTTCTAATTGGTTCGATTGTCTCCAGAAGTTGGTGTCAGATGATCCCAGGCGACCAGTCAAGGATCTGCGGCGGTGATGTCGGGGGTGGAGCAGCGGTACAGTGACATCAGCCCTGTGACCCTACAGGTGGCGGGCGGGGTCGTGACCTCCAGGCTGTACTGCAAGGAAGTGGAGGGTTTGTCTCAGGCAGAGTCCTTCCTGGTGGAACTTTATCGCTGCAAACTGTGTCAGTTCACCTGCGGACTCAAGGCCACCATCAGCAGCCATGTCTTACTCCGCCACGACCCCCCAGACCTCCCATGCCTTAGCGGACCTGAAGGAGACGAGGTGGGCCGGGAGGGCTCCGAGCCAGAACTCCAGCGGATGGAGTCGCCGTACCAGCTGGATCTGAACGGAGAGGCTAAGCAGGGCGATGAAGATGAGGAGTTCCTGCTCTACAACATGCTGGACTCCATGAGCCCAGCCAGCTGCGACATGACCACCGAAGACGGGCTTCAGGTGGCCCACACCTGCGAGGTAACCACCCCATGTAAACCTTACCTGTCTGTGTCAAACACACCAGTGTTGCTGATGGTGACCCAGCGTTCAGGAAAACTGATCTGAGAGTCACCATTTAAGGAAGGTGGTTCCCTGATGGTTCCCAGATGAGTCCCACTGGTTCCCTGATGGTTCCCAGATGAGTCCCACTGGTTCCCTGATGGTTCCCAGATGAGTCCCACTGGTTCCCTGATGGTTCCCTGCGACTCCCATTAGAACCCTGATGGTTCCCAATGAGTCCCACTGGTTCCCTGATGGTTCCCTGCGACTCCCATTAGAACCCTATTGGTTCCCAATGAGTCCCACTGGTTCCCTGATGGTTCCCTGCGACTCCCATTAGAACCCTATTGGTTCCCAATGAGTCCCACTGGTTCCCTGACGGTTCCAGAGGAATCCCACTGGTTCCCTGATGGTTCCTGATGAGTCCCACTGGTTCCCTGACGGTTCCAGAGGAATCCCACTGGTTCCCTGATGGTTCCCCATTAGTCCCTTCTGGTTCCCTGATGGGTTCCGTAGAATCCCACTGGATCCCTCATGGTTCCTGAGGAATCCTACTGGATCCCTGTGGTTCCCGTAGAATCCCACTGGATCCCTGATGGTTCCCGATTAGTCCCACTGGTTCCCTGATGGTTCCTGAGGAATCCCACTGGATCCCTGATGGTTACCGATTAGTCTCTTCTGGTTCCCTGATGGTTCCTGAGGAATCCCACTGGATCCCTGATGGGTCCCATAGAGCCCACTGGATCCCTGATGGTTGCTCTGGAATCCTACTGGATCCCTGATGGTTCCCGTAGAATCCCACTGGTTCCGTGATGGTTCCCGGTGAATCCCACTGGTTCTCTGATGGTTCCCGATTAGTCCCTTCTGGTTCCCGTAGAATCCCACTGGATCCCTCATGGTTCCTCAGGAATCCTACTGGATCCCTGATGGTTACCAAATAGTCCCTTCTGGTTCCCTGATGGGTCCCGTAGAATCCCACTGAGCGTCCCTGATAGGTTCCCAGAGGAATCCCACTGAGCCCTGATGGTTCCCGATAGTCCCGATCTGGATTTCCCGTGACATGGTTCTTCAAGAGGTTAGAATCCCACTGGTTCTCTGAATGGGGGTTCCCGAGGAATCCACAGGATCCTGACTGTTACCTAAAAGTCCGCTTCTGGGTTCCCATGATGGCTCCCGAAAACATCCCACTGGTTCCCTGATGTTCCTTCTAGAATCCCAACAGGATACCTGTATGGTTCTCGTTGAATTCCGCACTGTGCGGAGTCCACTTGTGGTTCCATCGAATGAAATCTCCACTGGTTCTCTGAGTGGTTCCCAGATGAATTCACACCCACTTGCACTACCAAGATGGTTTCCCAGATTAAATTCCCAACTAGGTTCCCTGATGGTTTCACATGAGGAATCCCACCCAGGTTCCCTGATGGTTACCTAACAATGAATACCCATCTGGGTCCCTGTAGATTATACCCCAGAGCGGAATCTCCTGGGTCCCTGATGGTTCCTCGTAGAATCACACACTGGGCCATACCTGACTGGTTCCCGTTGAACTCCCACTGTATTCCCAATAATGGCGTTACCTCTGTAGAACTCCCACTTGAAACAGCTCGATGGTTTTCCTGAAAGAATCCCACTGACATCCCATATGGTTCCTGATGGATTCCCACTGGAGTTTCCCATGATGAGTTTACCGGAGGAATCCCAACTGTTCCCTGAAGGTAGATACTATGTATCCAACCGTGGAATCGCTTAAATGGATGCCGGATGGTTCCCAGATCAATCCACACTGGTTTTCCCTTGATGGTCACCACGGTGATCAATTCACCACAGGGTTCCCATGTGTATGGTTTTTTCATTCGTTCATTGTTCATTCTCACGAGAACCCTCTGGTTCCCAGCATGGTTCCCTAGGAATCACACGGTTCCCCATCTGGTAAAAATGTTCCCCAATTACTCCATGTAGTTAGGCAAGGACCATCCCCAGTAGATACCTTATGGTTCCCAACTGGGTTGCTGACGGTATCAGAGGGGGTTCCTTACAATGTGTCAATGGGTCCCTGATGGGATCCCGGTGGTTCTATAACCATCACCTGACAGGATCCTGTTTGTCTCTAAACCATCCCACTCTGACACAGGATCCTGTTGGTTCTATAACGCATCAACCATGACAGCAGACAATCCTGTCTGGTTCTATCTAACCATCAGCCTGTGACAGATCCCGGCGGTTTTCTATAACCCATCACCTGAACAGATCCCATGTTGGTTCTAATAACCAATCTACCTGACAAGGAAATCACACCGGTGGCGTTCCATAACCATCAACTACAGGATCCCGCGGCTTACAATAACCCATCACCCATGACAGGAACCCAGTTGGTTTCTTATAACCACTCACAAGCTGACAGGATCCCGGTGGTTACTAATTACACCATCCACTGACAGGATCCCTTGCAGTTCTATACAACCATCCACCTGACAGAATACCGCCCGGTGGTTCAATAACCATCACACTGAAATGATTCCCTTGGTTCTACATAACCATCACCTGTCAGGATCCCTTCGGTTTCTATTCAACCATCACCTGAACATGATACCCACGTCGCTTCATATAACATCACCTGAACAGGATCCTGTTGGTTATATAAACTCTATCACCTAAATGAATCCCAGCGTTGGTATCTATAAACCAATCAACCTGACAGAATATCCCCAGTTGCACGCGCTACACAAATATTCTATAACCATCACCTGATGAAGGATCCCAGGGTTCTATAATCTCATCACCTTGACATTAAGATCCCAGTGGTTCCTATAACCCAATCACCTGACAGGATCCCTTTCGGTTCTCATAACCCATCACCTGACAATGATCCCGGTTGGTTCTATCAAACCATCACCTTACCAGGATCCCTTCGGTTCTGATAACCATCACCATGAATGATCCCGTCGGTTCTACATAAACCATCACCTGACAGGATCCTGTTGGTTTATGATAATACCATCACCTGAAATGCATCCCGTTTTTGGTTCTATAACCATCACCACTGACAGGATCCCTTCTTCTAATAAACCCATCACACTGACATGATCCCCAGTCGGTTCTAATTAACACCATACACCATGACATGATCTCCGTCGGTTTCTATAACCAATCACCCTGACAGGATCCCCCAGTTGCGATATAATTAACCAATCCACCTTCGACAGGATACTTTCGGGTAAATAACCACATCACCTACAGGATCCGGTTGGTTATACTATAACCATCACCTACAGGATCCTCGGTGGTCCTCCCTAAAACACCATCACCTGAACACACAGATCCCGGTAGTTCTATAAACCCAGCACCTACAGGATCCTGTTGGTTTCTAAACCAACACCTAGACAGAAATCCCGGTGGTTCATATAAGCCATCACCATGACAGGATCCTGTTTGGTTCCTAAAACCACAAGCATGACAGGATCCACCGGCGGTTCTAAAACCATCACCTGAACATAGATCCCAGTGGTTTCTTATACACTAACCCATCACCACGACAGATCCCGGCGTTACACCATAAAAACCATCCCTGACATGATCCCTGTTGGTTCTATAACCTCAACTTACAGCGAGATCCCGATGTTCTACCATAACCACCACTGAACATGAGCCACCTTCTCGATCTTATAACATCTGACACCTGAACGAGGAATCCCCGTTGTTCCAATAACCAATCACCTGACATGGATCGCCTGTTGTTTTCTAAAATACCCCATACCTTGACACGGATCCCGTTTTGTTCTATAACCCACAACCGCTGAAGATGATCCCAGTTGGTCTAAATAACCATCAGCGCTGAGCACGAGATCCCTTCGGGTTCTATAAATCATCCAACCCCCCCTGACATTGATCGCCTTCGGTTCATATACAGCTCATCAACACTGAACATTGATACACACCCCCAGTTGGTTCTATAACCATCCAAGACCTGACAAGGAGTCCCGGTGGTGCTATACACACCATACACGCCATACACTAGGGATCCCCGTTGGTTCTATAACCATTCAACCTGACAGGCTCCCCGGCTGTTCCATAAACCACATCACCTCTGACAGTATCCCGTCGGTTCTCGATCAACCATGCACTGACAGGTCCCGTCCGGTTCTGCTTAACCATCGACCTGACAGGATCGCCGGTAGGTTCTATAACCCCATCACCTGACAAGGATCCCCCCGATGCGGTTCTATAACCATCAACTGACAGGAACCCGGTGGTTCTATAACCATCAACCATGACAGGATCACCGGGCCACGAGTTCTATAGAAACATACACACTGACATTGACTCCTTTGGTTCGTATAACCAATACACCGCGTGACCATGATCACCGGTGGTTTGTCATATAACCATTACCTGACAGAGATCCCGGGCGGTTTCTATACAACCATCACCTGACAGGAATCCTGTTGGTTCTATAACCATACAACCTGACAAGGATCCCAGGTGGTTCTATAACCAACACAAACCTGACAGTGATCACCGTGATTCTATAACCATCAACCTGACAGGATCCTGGTGGGTTAACCAATAAACCAATTCCACCTGACAGGATCCCGTTGGTTCTTTACTAACCAGATCACCTGACAATCCCGGCGGATTCCTATAGCCATCACACATGACCAAGGATCCCAGATTGGTTTCTAGTAACCATACACCATGACCAAAGAATCCCGTGGTTCTATACCCATCACCTCACTCGACAGGATCCTGTTGGATACGACCAATTACCATCTACAACTGACAGGATCCCCGGTGGTATCTATGACCATACACGCTGACATGATACCCGCGTTCAAAATAACCATCCACACCACTCCCAACACAAGACAAAGCAAGGCAACGATGACATGCGCAGTCTGTGTGGCTTTTATACCCATCACCCTGACAAGGACCACCTGGTGGGTCGTAAAACACACAAACCTGACAGAGATCCCGTCGGTTCT